GCATGGCCTATCTATTTGACTCGCGTCCTAGTCGCACAAATTATGAAAGTCGAGAATTAATGGCAACGAAACTGGTAGGCCATTTAATTAATTATTTTTTTTTTGTCTTTGGTAAAATAAACATCATAATCTATATTACTACGCTCATGCATAGGTTCAAACAATGCATTTGCTATTGCAACACTATTTTGAAGACCAGTATGTTGCAAATGTCAAGGAATTTGAATTAGAGAGATTGAAAGACCATTGTCTCCAACATAAGACTGATAGGTATACTAAACAAATTATTCCTTCACTCTCCAATTTTGGCTCTCCTATTAATATTACACACAAGGTTGACCTTCACATGCATCTTTTCATGAAGTTATGACTGTGGTATGTTCGTCATAAAGTATATGCAAGGTGTTGTCATGTCGACCGGCATACACAAGGTGAATATTTCATGCTTAACCACATAATTACACTACTACAATTATATTGTCATATGATGGTATTGTTGATGGTATATTGTCTGTTCTATTTCCTCAGTTTGATAAGGTGGAAAGGTTTAGGCTGCTAGTTGACCTAGTGAAAGATTTGTCGAACAGTAAGTATATTGATGTTATGGATCGGTTCGACGCATACAAAAAAAGGTACGTCCCCAAACCATGAACAACTTATGCCCTTCATAAGCTCAGCTCATTACTTATGTAATTTCCTTTTGAACAGGTACGTTAGGCTCCGGAAGGCCAAAAGGAAAAAGAAAGATTGATAACAAACATCATTTTTGCCACTAAGCTTTTTTTACAATTATGAGCATATTTAATGGTTGAAGAAGCTTGGACGAATGTAACTAACTTGGTTTGGCAATTTTTTGTGGATGCTTGAATAAGTATATTTGTTTTGGATTTTTTTTACCAATTTCTATGGAATATCTACTAGTGCTAAAGATTGGTGTGATGAAACTACATCTGATATGTAATTGTGAAGCAGTACTCTTAGTTGTTGTTACAATTGCAATCACTCAAAAAATTCATAGGAAGGCTTTGATTGTTTACAATTTGTTTTACAAGTGAAGAAGGAAAAAAAAAAAATTAGACACTGTTCATAAAAGAACAGGGTTGACAAGAAGTTTGGTCATGCATCCATGGTTGTGTCCATTTGTTAGCTTTCATCATGGTTGGACCCATCAGATTCCTTTTCAGTAGTCGAATTTTATGAAGCTTCAACACAAAATAGTTTCCGCATGGTTGGATCTTGTCTTTCATGCTGCTTTTGACTTTGCTCTTCTGTTTTGCCATACGTTCCATGAACTATGCTGCATGTGGATTATTTGGTATGCTACCAAAGAATTCTCGCACGAAGTTGACATAAGCCTTCCCTACCCCGTTCGATTAGGTTTTGGATATGTAGGTGGCCTACAATTGTCGAAATTTCAGAATTAATTAACTCCTTCACTGCACTCTACAGTAACAATCCGTTTAGGAAAAATACCAAGATCATTGGGAGGAGCTACCACTTTTCCTTTACCCGATATTGTTGTTTTTTATCCGCGCCAAGTTCAATTACCTACGTAACATTCGAAACATATGTTAACATCTAAAACGAGGTGGGCAGATGTAAATTTTGATAAGAAAACGAGACAATTCAAAAAGTCAAAACTGAAATATGAAGGGGGCCCCACACGTTTGGGGTGGCATAGCCATATTTATGCATTCTTTGTTATTCATTAAAAAGAAAAATAAATACTAGGGCTGAAAAAGAGAGAGACACGTTGCAATATTAGTAGTGATTGTAAACTCATCCAACATAAGAACAACTCATCAAACTTAAGGACAACAGTCAAGCAATCAGTCGTTTTGTAAAAAATCAAAAAGTACACTTATTTAAATTATCTCAAACTCTTGAGATTTGAATTTAATACATATCACCCTTAATGTCTGAGAAATTACACTAACCCCCTATCATTATAATTATTTAGACGGAATGAAGATATTAAACTCATACACTCTTACTTTTATTTTTTTTCCCTCTTTCTTTTGCTGTACTTTTTTTTAAAACATAATTTCTTCTATTTTTCTTTTCTTTTAGGGGTTGCTACCTTTTATATAAGCAGAGAGATTTATAAAATGAGACTATTAACCACAAGGGTGAGAATATAATTTTCAGAATGTAAGAGAATAAGATGTAATTGGATGAAATCTCAGGAGGTGCTAGTGTAATTTACCCTTATAACTATGAATCAATGATGGATCTTTTGACTAGAAATGAAAAAGCCATAGATTCACAACAAAATATCAAGAGAAGTTATAGGATGTCAAAACAGCATATATCAAGAGTGGACACAAACTAGTGCTTCTATAATATGCAGTTTTGCAGAGCCCCATAGAATCACAAAAATAGAAAATATCCTGAATACACGAAACCACCAATGGAAAAAAATTAAAAATCATCCATGACAAACATTGAGCACAACTAGACAACGACGACGACTCTAGACTGCAAATCCATGCAAACATAATCGCAACTTTTACTGTACTCTCTCATTTGGTTGCCTGTGCGATCATATTGCTAATTGAACTGGCCTGCTCTTTAGCAGCCTCCACTAAAGAATCCTACAAACCAAGCATAAACCAAGATAATCGCAAAATCAAGTGAGGCTAAGCGCACCACAATTCACAAATATGAAGAAACATTAAGGCCAGATAATCTCGAAATCTAATACCTGTGCAGCAATCAGACGTGCTACTGTTTTCTTGCTAGACTCCTGAAGTTCACCAGCAATTAAAAGCTCATCCAATATATAATAAGCCTGCCAACTTTTTTCTATCAGAAACTTTTCAACAACTATAGAGCAATCAAGTATAATCACAAACCACAAATGGTAACTCTACACTACCAAAAGTTGACATGTAGACTATAAATGACAATTCACCTTCAAAGGATTATTTTGCTTTAAACTATTTCATCTGATTTTCCAACAAAGGCCAAGGTTGAATAAAAAGTCTTACAAAAACCATTGAGAACAAAATGAGAAAAGCTACTATAATTGGTTTACCAAAAAAAAAAAAAGAAGGGTACTCTTTTTCTTTTTGATTCAGGCAAAGACTTGCAAATTGGCTTGTAAGGGGAAAAAGGCTCATTTTATTGTTGAAGAAGGTTCACTAACAAAGTGCTGAAGAAGTCTCATTTTAGATGTTTTTTTGTTCATTTCGTTTTTTCATTGTAGAGGACTTCTTGTCCTCTTTTTGTTTCCCTTTTTCTAATTAATGAAATCTTTTTCTGTAGCTGATCAGAAAGAGAGAGAGAGAGAGAGAGATCCAAAAAATTAAATTGTCTTAATCAATTTCTTGACTTCTCAGACTACAGAGACCCTAATGGATTGCTTGCCTTAACCAATACACAATTTTTGTGTCCAATATCAAATACAACACACACAAATAGAAGCAAAGAAAACCCTAACTTATTGGGACCAACTAAATGAATCCATCCTTCTCCACCATTCAGTTCCACCTACTGTAATTGATTCAATTTGGAGCTCCAAGCAACCCAAAAAAAAAAAAAAATGGAAAATTTCTTCGTTATACGATGGTATTCCCCAACAAAGCAAAGAGATCAAGAATTTAAACATGAAGCAGGTAAAACAGAAAATACCTTATGGAAATTGAAGATCAAGCCCAGCTCACAGACCTGATGAAGTAGAGTCAAAGTACCATGAAAATCAATTAAAGATAGTGCATAAACCTAATTAGTATTATTTATAATTTTCCAAGGTCTAGCTGGCTCACACTTCCAAAATACCGGTCAAGTATTTCAACAAAGTGATTTGGGATTTATTCACCTTTATTTTTTTAAATGAATCCCCAAACTAAGAAATTTACATGTAAAACAAGGTAGGCAGATGTCAATTTTGATAAGAAAACGAGGCAATTTCAAAAAATCAAAACTGAAATATGAAGGGAGCCCCACACGTTTGGGGTGGCATAGCCATATTTATGCATTCTTTGTTATTCATTAAAAAGAAAAACAAATAATAAAGCTGAAAAAGAGAGGGAGAGACACGTTGCAATATTAGTAGTGATTGTAAACTCATCCAACGTAAGGACAGCTCATCCAACTTAAGGACAATATTCGAGCAAACATATTTGGGAGTTATTCACCTTTATTTTTTAAATGATTCTCCAAACTAAGAATTTATGGATATTGTGAAAGATAAAAACACCTAAGATATCAACAAAACGTAACTAATATGCACTAATGTCTCCTTGCAAAAACAACGTATCAATCACTATAAGGCTCATCATAAAACTAAACTACACTTGAGAATTTGTCGGTTCATCAATATCTTCCATGTGGGGCTCCAACTCTGTGCTCATGAATGTTTCAATGTCTGAGTTGCTACCCTCTCTCCAGCTAGTTGAAGCCAATTTTTTACACCTTCGCTTCGTGTGTCCGATGCTCCTACAATAGCAAATAATGCATAAACAATTTTAATAATCATGTACATGCAACAGGATGGAAAAAGGACATGCAATTAAAGTACCATACCTACAATACCCACACCGCCTTGGTTTTGGAGGTTTACCCATAGAGGATGTCCCTCCGGGGTTCCCTTTGGTCTTCATTACATTAGGATCACCAACGCCACATAGTTTGGGTGCAATATTTTTGTCCCCAACCTCGGTATTATATTCTGTTCGCATTGACCAATGCTTTTTCATCTTCAATGTCATTTGGAAAGCCATTTCCCCTGCCTCTTTAAAATCGTTTTCTGCGTGTGAGGCATAATATGACATTTCACTAAAACATGAGCTTAGTATACCGAACCGGGCTGTCTATGTTAGGGTGCTAGAAATTTGGGTAAGACTTGGTTGTTGATATCCTGACCTAGCACGTCTTGTCCATCTCTTCAAGACACAACTCGGTGGAATACACATCAATTGTTCAGATTTCATGACAGCAATCATGTGGCAACAGGGGATGCCAAATGATTCAAACTTCAAGCAACAACATTTTATTGTGATATCTGCTGGAAAATACTCAACCGTCCGTGTGCTTGTTGGTGCCTTGTACTCACCAAAACGATAGGTGCGACGATCCTCCAACTCAACTCTTTCCATCACAAACAATTTACCCTCTTTGCTGATTTCACGTCGAAACAATGAAAATATCTTCCGAGTAAAGAGCTCAACTGCATGTTTTTCCAAACTTCTCAATGGCGTAGTCAAAATCGGGAAACTATTCTCTGTTTTAGATTATATTTCTGCCTCATTAACACACATCCTAGCAAGAGCCCTATCATATTGTGCTACAAATTCGTACAACCTTACCTTTTGTTCTAGGAACATATTGAAATATGCATTCATACCCTCGACATGTTGAGTGCTCCTCATCCCATCAAACATGTGACCACGACGATACGCCTCAGCCCACTTATCACGCTTTCAGTGAATCTTCAACACCCAGTTATTGTTCTCCAACTTGTATTATTTCACCATACGAGCCCACGCATTGTCAAACTCAACAATTTTACATTTCTTTAACATCAACTGTGCAAAATCATTAGTAAATTCTGGTATGTGGATATTTGTTGAGGCATTTTTCTCTAGATGCCAAGAACATAAACGATGTCTGCAATTTGGAATAACTCTTTCGATTGCCTGACGCATTGCCCTATCACCATCTGTTACAATAGAGATGGGTCTTTGTCCATTCATGACCTCCATTAACGTTTCCAACACCCACGTGTATGTCTCCATTGTCTCATTAGGCAACAAAGCACATCAAAATATGCTTATCATAAAATGGTTACTCACGCCAGCTAGAATCACATATGGCTTCTTATACTGATTTGTACAATAAGTTGTATCAAATACCAATACATCACCAAATGCAGCATAGTCCATCTGAGACCTACCATCTGCCCAGAAAATCTTGTCCAACCGGTTATCCTTATCGACATTGTACTTGAAAAAAAATAATCGATTTGCATCTAGTTTAGCTGATAAGTATCCTAAGGCACCCTCTGCATCCCCTTCTGCAAGTTGTACTTTGCGCTCAGCTTGGAACTGGTTGTGTAAATCTCTGTGAATGAAGCCCACCTTCTCATAACCCCCTGATTGATGGACCATAAAATCCATGATTTGACTTGTTCTCATACCCACATTGCGCATGGCCTTTGCTTGAGCTTGGTCTGCACTTGTTACAAACCTACGTGACCACAAAAAAGGGACGCAGTGTGGTGCTGCCAAGGGATGGTTGTGTTCCCCTACAAAGTGGGTCACAACATATTTTTTAATTGTCTTGTCATAACGCACACGAAATGTGGCACTACAAAAAAGTGTAGTTTCTGCCCTGGGAGTTCTCACCCATTCCACACGCTGTAAGTATTTCTTCTCTTTTATACCTTCCCTTGAACAAACCCATTTCCTACTCTCTACAAATTTGTTGTCTCCAGAAATTCATTTCTTACTTCTTCGTACGCTAAAACCGATGACCTTAGTGTATGCATTGTAGAAAGAATAAGCATCCTCATCTGAATTGAATTTCATTTGCAAAACATCAACCTTAGTAAGCATTCGTAAACTATCATAGGTTTGGGAAGGTAACCCTTCTTCTTTCCCATCGACAACATCATCCTTGCCATCCGGGGCAACTTGATTGTCAATTTTACTGTTGACCTCTTTCTGCCTACTACTTTCAGTTTCATCCATCATATCTACATAACAAATCGCATAGACAACAGATGTGCACGTAGACAACAGATGTGCAGATTTGGCATCAGTTAAATGCAAATAATAAAAAAGTACACTCGTAAATGCCATTATATAAATTAAAATCAAACAAATCAACAAAAAAACACACCCGCTAGTGCCGTCCTATAAATTAAAATCAAACAAATAAATAAGCACACCTGCCAATGCCCTGCTATCAATTCAAAGCAAATAAATACAAAAATACACCAGCAAGTACCCTACTATAAATTAAAACATACAAAAGCACACCCGTCAATAGTAATAAATAATAATTTAACACTAAAACAAATAAATAAATGAATACAAAGAAATAAGTTAGTTGCCCAGCAAAGATTGTAAGCTTCGGCCCAAAAGAAAGAAAAAAAAAGAAAAGAAAAAGGCCCAAGTATGTAACAAGGCCCAAGTATAAGATTTATACTTGTCTCAAATCTCATCTTAAATTTGCAATTAAGAACTCCACCCCTAGCCTTATTATGCCTGCTAAGAGAGGGGGGGTACGTGGCACTCCAAGTGAGGCTTGGCTCACAGTATAAAAAGGAGGCAAGGGTGTGATGAACTACTGAAGGAAAAAACGAAAGAACAAAAAGGGTGGAAGCCGAGAGAGAGAGGTACGTAAGTGAGAGTGAGGAGTTGATAGTAGGGAAGTTCTGATAGTAAAGTAAGGCTAAGGGTTATAATTAAGGTGAATTATATTATGTCTTGATTTATCATTATATGTTTTACGAATGTTTTGAGTTACCACAGTTTAGTTTATACAAGTTATATTTGATTAAGTTATATAAATAAAAGTTATGTTTTATAAACTACTTCAGTTACGTGGGTTACTTTCTAAACTTTATTTACTTAAAAGGAAACCTATGGATATGTTTGTTTAAATTTTAGTATATATTTGACTACAACCTTATAAACAATTATGTTTTGTAAACAAAAAAGCACACCTGCCAGTGCTCTGCTATAAATTATCAATTCTTAAAAGAAAATGAACAAATAAGCACACCCACCAGTGCTTTGCTATCAATTGAACGGAAATAATAAAAAAACACCTGCAAGTACTCTACTATCAATTAAAATAAAAACAAATTAACAAAAAAGCACACATGCCAGTGCACTGCTTTAAATTAATATCAAACAAATAAATAAGCACACCCGCTAGTGTCCTCCTATTTATTGAAAGAAAATAAATAAATAAAGCACACTTGCAAGTATCCTATTATCAATTAAAAAAACAAATAAATAAAAAGCACACCTGGCAGTGCCTTGCTATTAATTAAAAGTAAATAAATTAAAAAGCACATCTGCCAATGCAACTGCTAGGGAGGGAGGGAGGGGAGAGGTATAGCTTCACTTCTATGTTAAGATGTAGAAATTAAGGACCTGTGACAAACAACAACAGAACATCGAAACGGAGTTAGTAAAGAAGACAATACTTAAGGAGATTTATGGTTATGGGGCGAAAAGGAAGGATCTATGTATGAAAAATATTATTTTGCACATCTTTTCACATTAACAAATTGCATAACCAATAATAGAGATGAAACTGTACTACCTTTGTTCAAAGAATCAATAACCATTACATAAATAGTTAAACAAATGTACCAACACCAACCGATTAACCACTTAAAAGATAAAAAATAAAAGATCTAGAAAGAAAAAAAAAGTTTATTTGATTGGATGGACTATTAGATTATTTTTTTGATAACTCGGTAACCACATATTCCTAAATCTAGATTTTAGATTCAAAAGTTCAATAAGAGTGTGGGACACCTCTTAAACACCCACATATATTGCATATTGCATAATATTTTTTGATAAAATATTGTCAATTATTTAGGAATATACTTTAATTTATATCTCTATTTGTTTGAGAAGAAATGTTTACTTGCTAATGTAATTGTCTTCTTCTTCAAATATTATATAAAATTAGAGAATTTAATTGAGTTTTTGCACCCTTAATCTCGTCATATTTAGTGAAC